AGTGGACACTGGAGCTGAGGCCGTGGGTATAGGAAGGAGACAGTGGACACTGGAGCTGAGGCCGTGGGTATAGGAAGGAGACAGTGGACACTGGAGGTGAGGCCGTGGGTATCTTTTTAGATCTTGTTATTGATGACTAAGAGGAGGGCAGGGTGACAAGCAGAGAAGATGTAGAAACAGGCAGAAGCCAAGTACTAGCAGAGGGAAGAGAGCTTAGTGGGTGGCTTGCCAGCCCAGGGTCTTCAGGGCTGCGGGTTCCCTCCTTACACACAGCTTATCCTCCAAGCTTAATGGCCAGTGCTTTTTTTTCTGACAGTTCATGCTTATTTGAAAATGTGCTGTTGAAATCCTTTTGTTCTCATAAATTACTCTCCATTCTGTTTTCTAAGAAACATCTCTAGTTTTTAAAACGTGTTTTAAACATGTCCACGCTGCCTGTCAGTTTTCCTGTGAGTGTCTTAGTTCATTTGTGCTGCTGTAATGGAATGCCGGAGGGCAGGCAATTTACAAAGAATGGGATTTATTTCACCAGCATTGTGGACGCAGGGAAGTCAAAGATCAAGACTCTGTTAGCCCTGCTTCTGTGCATCAGGTGGAGGGGAGGACACTGGGTTCTCATGTGGCAGAAGAGCTGGAGAGAAGGAGCCCTCTCTGAGAAGCCTGTTTTGTGGCAGTCCACTCTGAGAGCTAGCAGTAGGTTCCTGCTCCCAACACTTGACCTGGGGATGACGGTTGAACGTGAGCTTTGAGGGGCACACACACACTAACCATCCCGTGTGACAGTTAACCAATCTCTAGAGTGTGAAGGTGTTCCCACCATCACTTTGTGTGTCACTGTCTCACGTTCCTGTTCACAGAATTATACCTAGGAAACAGGGGCTTCTGGATTCTGTATCTGGGGACCAACTGGATTTAGCTGAACTGAAAAATGCAGCAGGCATCTTAAGGAGCAGCAACAAAGCAGCAGGTTGCTCTCCCGCCTGGAGGTGGGCCAGCACACTGGGCTCTGCTCCAGAGGAAGCTCGCTTCCTTCCGCAGGGTGCCCTCACATTTATCTCCTCCTGCCCTCGTCACAGAGGACTGAGGTTGATGTGACATGCTTCCAAAAACTGTCCCACACCATGACAAGCAGAATTCTATCTACTGTGCAGCTGTGTGAGGACAGTACCTCCACGTGGTTTCTTTGTCCTTTGTCCTGGTCTGTGTAGACTGGCAGTGTTTGTCCCTTTGCCTGTCTCTCAGCCCCTTCCTTGCTCCCAGGGGACAGCGGATGGCATTTCTTGACTGACAGACTACACTGCCATGTGTTTCTTTCCAGTATTTTTTAGGAAAAATTTCAAATGTGGGGGAAGAGTTGAAACAATTTTCCACTGAACGTTAGGAAGCACCAGTTAGATTCTGTAACAGCTTTAAATACCTGGCTTATGGCTTGTGCACCAATAGTTTATATTATCTTTTTTGTACTTCGAGATAGTGGGGTCCCTGTCTCGTATCCCTGCTTGTGAGCCTTCCAGCTCTGTTAAAATAGTAGGGATTGAAGCAGCTCGGAACAAACAGTGGTGAGCTCAGGTTGGTCCGTGCTGGGTGTGCACTGCACTGTCCTGCGTCCTAGCCACATGCTAGACAAGTAGGTTATCCACTTTGAAAGTTGGAAAATAACAGCCGTTTGGGTGACCTGGACAGTATCCTCAGCTCCGTGTAGCTCTTGGTCCAGTGGAAAGTGTAGCCGAGTGTCAGTGTCTACTGTGAGGGGCTCAGAAGTCATCCCAGGGCTGGCTCCTGGGCTGAAGAGTGATCACAAGAGTTTGTCATGTGTTAAGCTAGCATAGTGTGCCTGTGTGCAATGCCTCCATTCCTGAGTGGACCTGTTACCAATGCCTGCATCCGCTTCTGACCACACGAAGGGCAGGGCCTTTTTCTTCTTAGTGAAGCAGGTGTGTTTGGGACTGTATTTCAGGGCCAACCTCTCTAAATGCAGAATGTGCAGGGGTGGTGGCCATTGGGGTCCGAAGGAGATAGGCGTCTTGAGCTGTCTCCTTTTATCCTGGTCAGCCACAGGCACTGTCAGGTTCACACAGTTGTCCTCACAGGCAAGCTAAGTTGTTTAGATCTGTGTTAGACTTACATTTGTAACTTCCTCTTTTCCTGCCCACACCTTGCAGGCTCGGGTCATGTATGACTTTGCTGCTGAACCTGGAAACAATGAGCTGACAGTTAATGAAGGAGAAATCATCACCATTACAAACCCGGTAAGCGTTCACAGCTCTGTGGATGGACTTTAATGCGGCACCTTCCTCTTCCTGAGTTCATCAGCTTGCGTCAGTGTTTCAGCTGTTGCTTATGAGATGCTGATGCCACAAGAAGCTGTTACGTGCGCACCAAGAGTTCAGTCCCTGCATATGGCTCAGTGCGTGACTGAATTTGTTGCGCCTCTGTTTTGCTGGATTTTTCTAACATTTGTAACTTGCCTGTCATGATGCTTTGTAAGCATCCTGTCATGGTTCTAGGATCAGGCCCCAGGGTTTTCTCCCTACCCTGCTGGGCTGTCTGTATAATACATAAGCAACCACGCTGACGTTCCTAAACAGCTTAGTTTACTGATTGCTCTCTCTGGTCTAAGCCTGATCCTGTAGTAGGCATACTAGAAAGCAGTGTGTGTTAGCTTAGCTCCCAGCAGGGCGGCACACTTGTGTGCGCACACATACAGGCGTGAGCAGCTCTGCCACACAGCCCTTCCCTTCCCATAAGCATTTGCGTGCTGCTTGAGTTCAGGCTCTTTCCGTTGGAGATTTAGCACATTTCTTTTTATAGAATACAGTATTTATAGCCCATTGAGTTTCTTCTGTGATCTTTGTTGCTCAGAAGTAAACAATACCATTGTTAAGTCAACCCAGGCTGTGATCTGTTATCTCTGTGGTAGTCACCGCACTGTTTATTTCTCTTCATGTGCAACTTTATTGTAATCATCCTTAAAGTCTTCAGCAGTATTATGAGATGAAAGCTGTTTGAAATAAAGTTCTGAGGAAAATTATCTCAATTACTCCTACTTTATTCAGAAGGGAGAAGAACAGATGGAAGGGAGAATTAGTCTCTGTAGCTACAAACTGAGCAGAACTTTCAGCCACTGCTGCTCCCCAAAACACCACTGAGTACAGACCCCACAGCTCCTCTACCTGTGTTCCCTGGGCATGTCCTCCCTAGTTCCTATCACAGCCTCTAGGTTCCACACTAGCAGCTGTGTCTCTTGCCCTAGGCTCCCTGTCTGTGAGGTTTGTCCACAGTGTTCTTGAATGTCCATCCCATCATGGCACAGTGACTGTATCTGAGGCAGGAAACTGCTTGATTACCAGGGCCTCTCTGATTGCCTCTCACCAGCTGCTTGTAAGACCCTCCTTTGCTTATGATAGTAAGCAAGTAAGATTCTTGCAGCATTACTTTTTGGCCCTATATGCTAAATCCATAGTATTTCCACCTGACCAGGCTGCTCAAGCTCACATGGGCTACCCGGGCTGTGTCTCCGTGCCAGTGGTCATAAGAGAGCATCAGCTCCCCTGGAGCATGATCGAGGACCACTCATGCGGTTATTCCATAAGAGTAGTGCATGCTTTCAACCACTGAGCCAGCTCTCCAGACCCTAGCTGTGTATTTCTAACAAGTAGAAATAGGTTTGGTTTTCAGACAGAATGACAGCACAGTCCAGCCGTTTCCTAATAGTATCAAATATTCTATTAGCTTCATTGCTAATGTTTTTAAGTTGAAAATCCCCTAGAATATTGTCCTGACACAGTATTGACTACACTCAACCTTGTAACAAATTGTTACACATGATCACGTTTTCCATAGCCACCCTTTTTATGTCATTTCATATTTCCTAGTATTTTTCTCTGCAGTTATTTCACACTTCCTAGTTGTATTCTCTGGGATAACTTGTTATAGGAAATATACTCAAGAATGAGAAGATAGCTTCGTTGGTAAAGCACTTGCCTTATAACGTAGGGACCTGGGTTCAATCCCAGAAGCGCATGACAAAGCCTCTTGGTGGCCATCGTGGATGTGGGTGGAGCCAGGTGGGTCCCCAGGCCTCGCTGACCAGTCAGCCTGCCCCATCTGCTGAGCTCCAGACTAGAGAGAGAGAGTCCAGCAGAAAGGGGGCCATGAGATGGCTCAGTGGATAAAGGTGCAGGCACCGATGCCACCAAGCCGGATGGCCTTGGCTGATGACCACAGCACTCACGTGGAGAGAGAGAGAACCTACCTCCTGAGTTGTCCCCTGACCTATACACAGGCCATGGCACTCGTGTGCACACACATGCATATACATACAATAAATGAGTAAATACATTTTGTAAAAGGCGGACAGTACCCAGGGAAGAATGCCTGAGGTTGACCACGTGTGTCCACACACATACATGCACGAAGGAAATAAGCATTTAGTCCCTTCCTGGAGCTCAGTTTGTCTTGATAGAATGCATTATTTTCTGTTCTAAACAAGATGCAAAACTGTAACATTTTGAACAGTATTCGCTCTGTAGTCATAAAGAGCTTCATGTTTGTCATGTAAAAATTACACATTTGTAACAATTCTCAATGCAGAATTTCTGCAGCAGGTCCTAACCTCACCGTTTGTCTGTCTTCATCTTCTCTACAGAATGTTGGTGGAGGATGGCTGGAGGGCAGGAACACCAAAGGCGAGCAGGGCCTTGTTCCTACGGACTACGTGGAAGTAAGCACTACCCACTGAGCCTCCCTACACATCTCTATCGGTTGTCGAGTTAAAAGGCTGCCGCGAAGACAGTAACTGTCTTAAAAGTAAAATTTCATTGGGAGTGTAGTAGGTACTAATTAAAACACGGAAAACACATTGAAGTAGAAATAAGGAAAGAGATTACCTGTGGGCCTCAGCTACAGAAATGTTTAGGTTAACTTCCTTCCAAGGAGAGCTGCTGCCTAGAGCTCTGAGGTGGATTAATCTGCAGAATTTCAGTGGATTCTTTAAAGGAGCAGGCTGTGCACTTCCTTCTGCTACTTTCATAGACACGAGAATGTCTTTAATGAGACATGGATAAAGGATAGCACCCCAAAGTCCCGCGGGTCACCCTGCCTGTGACACAGCCACTCAGCAGCCAAACTGTCTTCAGAACCTGCTGCCTGGCACCCCCTGCTGGCTGCTGTAGGTCTCAAGCCTGAGCACAGTCTTCTTGGATGACAGACACTCAGTTACCTCTGGAAGACCACTGGCAGGAAGCTTCCCTGGGCCCTGTCAGCAAAGCAGGGAGGAGTCTGTTCTCTTGGCCTCGGTTAAAAGTGAGGGGTGAGGAGTCTTAAAGTCTCTGGGAAGTTAGGGGTTTTTCCCCTTCCAGAAGTGAGTGTCCACATACACATACCATAGCTGTGTCCATACAGTGCCAAGAGTATAGGCCCCTGAGCAGTTGGAAAGTCCGAGCTTCTCAGATCCTGCTCTGGTTCTATGCACTGCACATCTGAGATCCTGAAATGGTCACGGCCAAGAGAAACCTTAAGGATTTAGGTCGACACCAGTATTCATTCTATTTATACAATGTTTGCGTCTAAAGAGGTATAGTTTCAGCCTCTTAGATTTGTTTATCTTTCAAGACTGTGAGTTCCCTTTACTAGAAACAGACAGACCCAGCAGGCTAACATTAGAACATGGTTGAACCAGCAGGACCATTCACCAACAGGATATGAGGGATGTCCGTGAACTAAGATAAGCCATGGTCTGAACTATAAAACACACAATGAGTTTAAAAGAAGAGGGCCAGGTATGCAGCTCAGTGCCACACTGTTTGCCCTGGGTTTGATTCCCAGCACAAGTACCCAATACACACCACACACACACACACACAGAATGTGTGTGCGTGTGTGTGTGTGTTCACACGCATGTCTGTAGGTAGGTAGATTGACCAATCACAATCACAGAGTACTTCTCAGACTATACTGAAATTCAACTCCAAATATGCAAGAGAAGGATTGCTGGAAAATACCAAGATCTAAGTTATACATAAGTCAAAGAAAAAACTCTCAAGAAAAAAATTAGGTGTTCAGTGTAAATATAAATGAAAATTACCACAATTGTAGAGTGCAGCACAAACAGTCCTTAGAGGGAGACCTGCAGCCATGAGAGCATAGTCCCTCTCCGGGGAGGTTTGTGTGTCACCTCCCATAAGCTCTCACTGAGATGGAATCGTGAAAGGATGACACTTCTTTCCAATGCTCAGATTTTACCGAATGATGGAAAAGATCCGTTTTCTTGTGGAAATTCGGTGGCTGACCAAGCTTTCCTAGATTCCCTGTCAGCCAGCACGGCTCAAGCCAACTCATCCTCTGCCAACAGCAGTAACCAGGTACGCCTCACCTCCCGCTGGATCTGGCTGGCTTTCCTGAGAGCAGAGCTGGGGGTGGGGGAGGGAGGCAAATGGTACAGCATCGCTGTTGTTCCTCCCTGAAAGTAGCTGTGAAGGGTGTGTGCGGTGGTTGGGGGGCTAGGGGTATGGCATGAGGGGTGTGGCATGAGGGGTGTGGCATGAGGGGGTGTGGCACTCCTGCTGAGTATTAACAGACCTCACCTGAAACATCTGCTAAAGACTATTTGCAAAACCAATAATACAGTGAAAGATGCGGTGTTGAGCTTTGCTTTTGAGAGTATCAGGATATGGGTACCAACCCCTAAAAGGTTAAATACTCTCCAAAATGAGGGCCTGGAAAGAGAGAAGGAAGCAGACACTGAGGAGGCCAGTTTCTGCTTTGGCTAGACCAAGACTTTGTCATGGGTCCCCCTGTTACAGCAAGTGTCCCCCCAGTGCCCCTAGAAACAGTACATATAAACGAGGCACAGCCAGACACTGGGCACTCACACTCTGTCAGTGCTGTTGGCTCTAAGTAGGCCTAGCGTGAGCTCGTATTTTAAACAGTGTACATTTGTAAACAAAGTAGGCCTAGTGTGAGCTCGTATTTTAAACAGTGTACATTTTTAAACATGGCTTGGTAGTGTATGCCTAAATCCCAGGATCTCTGTGAGTCCAGGCCAGCCTGGACTACATAGTTAGACTCTGTCTCAAAAAATGAAACAAAATAAGAGAGAGAATGTCCATATTATGTATTTTATGTTTCTACCAGAGACCCATCTGTAGACTTGAGATTAAGCTCTGGAAATAACAGAATAGGAAAATGTAAGGTTCAGTCATGTTTTGAGTTGAAATGATTAGGTTTTCACATGAGAGGACTTTGTGTCCCCTGGCCCTTTAGAGAGAAACAGTTACATCTCCATCAATTATTCTAGTCAAAATGTCCCTCCCAGGAGGGGCAGTGACAACATATTACTTGGTCCCTACGTAACTTTCTAGTCCAGTAGGCACACAGCTGCTATATATTTACTCAGTGAGAAATAGACGTCTGATACTGTCTTAGTCATGTGGATGAGTTGAAGAGAAAAAACATCCCACCTTCCCTAAACAGCCTTCCTGTTGTGAGCAAGAAACACTAACTTTCCACTCATCTTTGAGTCTTACTCTGGAACTTTCCAGTTACCTAGTCCTGTACTCTCCCTCCATGGCTTCTTTCTCTCCTAGCAGGAACCTGTCTGTCAGGCCGCAGCTGTCTGCTCAGCCCCCAGGAGAGGCCGAAGGGCAGCAGGAGCAGTGGAGACCGGGGCGTGTCTCCATGTGTGTACAGAGGTGGAGCCTTGAATGTACATGGAGCCTCTCCTCCTAGATTGTAATATAAACTGTGGTTAGCCTGTGGCTAGGGAGCGTTCCTGTGGACTTAGCAAACTAGTCATCGGTATTGACTGTGCTGGCCTTTGAGTGTTCTGAATGGAAAGAGTAGGCCACGGGAGCTGGAGCCCACTCCTGGACATCTTATATTCTGGTGTTTCCTTTGTTTGCTAGTTTGGATAAAATGCCAAGTAGAAAATCACCTCAGTGAGATTCTCACTAATTCTCAGTCATAGTCCACTTATGGGGTCTGGCCCAGCTCAGACAGGTATGAAAAGTCATGATGGCCAAAGCCATTCTTCTTTCATGTCTCTCCTAAAGTTGTGGCTCTTGTGTCTGTATGAGAGACAGTGCCCTACACAAGTCTGCTCACTTAGAACTCAGAGATGAGTCAGATCTCCCATCAGGCACCTGTCCTGAGGAACACACACTCAATATCAGATGCAGGAGCTTCTCACTGGTCTAGGTGCCCCAACGATGTTTATAGGGAGCAAAATACAACAGCATAGAAATGCTGTGAAATAAACGGGGAACTCATCACTGTGTAGCCAGTAGTTGCCATTACACCTTAGTCCCTGCTTGACCATGAGAAGTAGGGGCTGCATTGGCTCAGATCAGACGTGCATCGTAGATGAAGTTCAGTGTTTCATGTTACAGCACATCAAAATATACAGTACCTGGTCAGTACCTGTTCACACCACTGATACCGGGGTTAGCTGGACAGTATTCTCCCTCTGTTATATTGTACGCTCTCCTTCTGTCCAGAAGTCATCTGCAAATGAACTGGACACTGCTCACTGTTCTGACAGCTTGTCTTGTTGCTATCATGCCTCAATCACTGCTGGTTTTCTTGCTGTGCTTGCTGGCCTGGCTTTCTTCTGTGCAGTCAGTCCTCTTGATACCATCCACCAGAGCTAGCTAGCTGCCCTGATCCAGTTTTTAGAGTGCAGGATAAATACATGATTATTTCTCTTTAATTGCTAGTTTTCAAACTAAGTTGTTTTATAGCTGCTTCAAATGGTAGCTAATGGGTTTTCTTCTTTCTCCACTTGTGCTTCATGGATTGCATGGTGCCTGTGGCTTCACTGGCTCCCTGCACTCAACCCTCCTGGAGGGTTTTCTCTGTGCTGTTTTCTCTGTGTTTACTGTCTCCTGTTGGGAACTCATTCATGTTGTCTCCTCTGCATCCATCAGCTGTGACTGCTCCCTTGTTCTGATTGGGTCAGCTTCAGTTGACTGATTTGTGCCTTTGATATGGGTCATATTTCCCTGCTTTTTCATTTCTTGTAACCAGACTTTGTGATTTTACTCTGCAGTGCTGAATATTTTGCACTCTCATTAGTATTTTGAACCATGTGATAAAGAGAAGTTATTTTAAAGTGCCCATTTCCCTTCAGTTTTAAGCTTTTCTGAGTGTGACAGAGAAGTATTTCACGTGGGAAACTTTTGCCCTGCTACTGGATGAACCCTTGCTAGTGCACTGTGCACTGTGAGGCTTTCTGCTGTGGAAGATTGTGCTCTGAGTTTCCTCTCGTGATCTGTTCTCTGACTTGTAGAGATTCCTCAAAAGGTGACTTTATTAGGTCTCAACTTTAGACCTTCTGCCCCTCTGCAGACCTTGAGAGCTTCCTGGGTACAGCGCTTACTCACTCTCTCACTCCCCTCCCCCATGCCCAGGCTCCACCTCCACAAGTCACAGAGCCCTGGGCTCTGCCAGGTCTCTCTTGGCAGGGAATGGGGCGTTTGTAGGTCTCACCTTCCCATAACTCAGGATCACTGTCCTTCTGCCCGGTGATTTTAGAACAGTCCGTACATATCATCAGTTTTTAGCTTGGGTGAGACTGTAGACCGGGTCTCACTAGTCTTTTCTGGTTATCTTTTCTGTGCCTTGACTTCCAAATTTTCCTTTTGTTTGCATCTATGAAATGAGAATGGTGACATTCATGTCCCAAGAGTTGACCCTCACACCACAGAAGCATTGCTAGTGTTCATTCCACGTTGAGCTGTGTGGACCTAGGACTTGGGCTCCAAAGTTGCCAGGAATTGAGTCAGCAATCACATTCCAGCAAGAGCACACCCCAGACAGTGTGGACTTCTGCTTCTCAGTCCCCAGAGTGGCTGGCCTCGTCTGTCCCTCACTTTGGCTCTCTCTGTGTGTGTTGAAGTAACAGGGCAGCTTGGAGCATCCTGGTTGGACTCTTCCACAGTCGGTGCTTTTGAAAGGAAAGGTTTAAAATTCTAACATTTGGAAATCGTGGCTGCGTGCTTGCCTTGCTAGCTCTGGCATGCATGTGTTTGCCCCCACGCCAGTGCAGCTTGCAGTTAGTGTCAGTGCTTCAGTTGTGAGTCCAGGTACAGGCTTGGGGAGATGCAACATGCTACCACACAGTTGCGTCTCTGCCAGTGTCCTTTGTGAGTAGGTGGCATGCTAGGCTTTTTTGGTGAATCTGACTGTGCAGTGAATTTGCTGGTTTTGATTAAAAGCTTTGCTGTGTATTGTCCCCTGCTCACTGAATACCTTTTTATTTTAAGGTGGACATTTGGGCTCAGGTTGGTTGTGCTGAAAGACTCAGCCAGTCACCCCCTTCTTCTTCTTCTCCTTCTCCTTCTTCTTCCATAAATAAGGTAAATTTGAGACATGAATAACTGCATGAAGAAATAAGCATTTACCAGCCAACCTTGAGAGGTATGCTTTTCATATGCGGTAACATGAAGAAGCTCTTCCCAGGTCTGGTCAGGCAGATGTGATTGCTCAGGAGATAGGACCTGCAGGCTGTCGGCTGACACTTTTACTGAGACCTGATTGGTGTAGTGAGATCTAGTGAAGGGTTTGGCTCCGAGTGACTGTAGATCAAGCAGATCCTGGTACCAGGAAGGGAAAGCAGGAAGTGCTGCTCAGTGGGCATGGCTGGGGAGGGAAGCGGAAGGAAAGGCTAGGGAAGTAGAGGCCTCAGCTAAGAAACAGAGCAAGTTCCCACATGGCTGAGTCTGTGGTTTCAAGACAAAGGGGTTGTTGGATTAAGAGCAAAGAAACTGATGGCCAAAGGGTCTTTAAAACACATCTTAGCAGCCCAGCGTATTCTACTAGGATTAGATTGTGAAAACACTACGCTCTTGGCATTTAGAGCCTAAAAGGCATTTCTACCAAAGCCTGGGCACTGGGTGTTGCCACTGAGTGTCACCATGAGGTGAGGGAGGCACCCCTGCCCTCTTCCTGTCCTCTCAGGGTACCTGAAGGGAGCAGACCCTCAGCTAGCAGGAAATAGCCTAAATGCCTAGTTTCATCTCCTTACTTAAAACTGTCTGCAGTGGTGTGACCTGGCATTTAAACTGTTGGGAATTCTCTCCGTGCCCTCCTGCATGAAGGAGGAGGTGTACCTCTTAGCGAACTGCTGGTTTCATTGTTTTGGGACAGGGTCTCACTGTGGAGCCAGGCAGCCTCTAGAACTTGGTAAGTAGCAGGCTGGTGTCAGACCCTTCAGCTTTCTGACCCATCAAGTGCTGATTCTTCAGGTGAACCCCACATGTACAGACAACTGGACTGAATCCTTATTTCGTCAGCACTGTGTGCACTTATCTGTTCATACTTAACAAACGCCCTGAGGAAGGTACTGTTACAGATCCCATTTTTAAGACATAGTAACTAAGAAGGGCAAATTGCTCATATGCAAGGAGCTGTCAGTAGCAACCCTGGGATCTGGGCCTAGGTCAACAGAAGGGGCTGAGTTCTCAGTCACTGTACCCATGTGAAACATCGTTGGCCCTGTGGTTACAAACCAGTTCAACATCCACGGAGTTGGCCAGTGTTCTGGCCTTTTCACACAGTCTGCGCAGTTGAACACCGATTGCTCATGTTTGGGTCAGTGGGGGACTGTGTGTGTGAGTGTCCACACATGGTAATAGTGAGACTGGACATCCCATTGGTGATAGCACCACTGACAGATATACACAACAGAATACATTGCTCGTGCGAGCCTGTGTGCGTGTGTGACGTGTGGTGACACTGGTGCAAACACACCTACTTGACCTGCTTCCTGCCCATCGTGTAAAAATGTGCATTCAGTTATGCACGGGAGGCCATAATGGGGAACGGCTGTTTCGCTGGGTTTTTGTTCACTACTCTTCATAGTCCGTTGCTTTTGTCTACTTCTACTTTGTGTACTGTAAAACCCTCTGCCATCACCCCAGCAGCGGCATCACACGTGCTGTGTGCACTGCATCTTGTAATCAGATCATTCTCTCTCTATCTGATTTAATCTTGTGTTGTTCCTTGTGGCCCTAAGCCGTAGACCATATCATGTATTTATCCACTATAGCCTAGGATGTTTAATCATGTTCTGATACTTACACCACCTAGAGATGTACTTCTCAGAAACTAGCTGACCAGACACCACGTGTCTGCCTCTGTCATGAGTAAGACTCCTGTGGTTATAGACACATGTGTGTGCAGTGGGCATACTTGTCACTGCTACCTGAGTGGAGTTCATTCTCGGGTCCTTCTGGTGTGACAGTCCAATACAAGGCTAGTTTCCTCAGACACTTGGCTAATGCTGTAAGTTCTTTCAGTAGATGGCTTGAAATAACCATTCTGTTAAACAGGATGCTACACAGGCAATAGCTTCCTATTAGACAGCCAGTGAGGGAGCGTGTGTGTGTGTGTGTGTGTGTGTGTGTGTGTGTGTGTGTGTGTGTG